TCGATTTGTTGGTGTTTATTGTGGTCATATTTTTTATGTTGATTTCATTTTAACTTTAAGTAGAAATTTGATAAAAATGCTCTAGAGTTTTAAGCATGGATTTTATACAAGTACAAACTTAAGATATGTTTCAAGCACGACCACAATCGAAAATAAAAACTTTGTAAATATCGAAATCGAATCGAAAATTTGAAATGATAAGAAAATTTCATGATTTTCGATCCTTACTTTACTTTCGAGTCTTCCCTGCCAATCAATTTCCTTCCTGAAATGTTTTGATCTTTCTTTAGTGTGGTTTCAACTTCCTTCCGTTGCCTTTTAGCATTCATTTGACTCCTTCTATTTACTGGAACCTTTCTTTCTATAAATACTCTGGTGGTTGCACACTTTCTTTATCAAACGGTTCAGTCAATGGATTAGCGTTTGCTTCAATCAACCTTAGTGTTTAAATGGTTTGGGTTGCCCTGAAACGAAGTTAGGAGGTATGTAACTTTTCACAGCTCGGTTCAGTGCATCTGTAACTATCAGCAAGCAGATGAACTCGTTCTCCAAACTGTCAGAAGTTAAATTCACCATACATACCCTGCCTTATCCTGAGTTTCGACCTAAAAAAAAAAAAATCATCTGAAAATTTTTCATCCGCCCAAGGTAATTCATGGAAGCGTGAACCGGTTCGGGGAAAATGAAACTCATGATAAGGCTGACTTTTTTTATGTTTTTACGAATTTACTGTTTCCCCGTTTTGAAAGAGCAATGATGTGTCCGTCAATCGGTTGCGACATTCTATTTTCTATCAATCACCGTCAATGCTTGGCTCAAGCATAAGTGGGGTACTTACACTGAGGGAAAAAAATATTAAAATCAAATAGAAACGTAATTGATCTTACTATAAACGTCAACGAAAGTACTGTATATCGGTAAATATTCAATTCAATTACGCGCATATTAAAATGACCGCGTTCGTACTGAAAAAGCATCCGAGAAGTGAATAATCAAGAAAAAACTACAAAAAAAAAATTTATTTGCATGTTGCCTGCAGCGGAATTCGAACCCGACCATCTCCGGATACCAACAACTTGTGGCAAGCATCTTTGCGCACTCAGCTACACCCAGCCATATGAATTTGCTTTCAAATGTTGAATATCCATCAACACCACAGAACGCGATTTGTCCGGATAAATATGTATGTACTATGTATGCACGATTGACAGAAATTCTTGAGAATTCTACTCTCATTCTACCATTCTTGCTATGTGTGTATGTGTGTTTTGTCACCGCTCTCAGTGCGGCGCTCTGCATGCTTGGGGTGCGTATGTACACTTACATATACATACTCAGATGTGAACAGTCAAATACGTGCGTAATAAATTTTGTATGAAAATATTATTTTTAAATACGAACATTTTTAAACAACAATCAAATATAAAGTATTCATTTTTACTATGCATTATTTCCCTCAGTGTAGACTGTCAATCATGCTTAATACAATCGATTAATTTTCGATCAATACGGTTGGCCGCTTTAATTCATAAATATATATCGCCGTTTAAACTGACGTCACTGACTTTGGTGCAAAAAATTTGATTTGGTTACCAGAAGCTCCTGGCATCAAGCCTTAGCCGGTTATACAAAAATATCGATATTTAGATATAAAAAGTAGAGATAAAAGAGAGATTCGTTTTGAAATAAAACCTCTCCTGTAAAATTGGGACAGCCCCACTTACGAGGTTTTGCATTATCTTGATACGCAGTTTTTTACTTTAAACGAAAACATGTATGTATATATTTTGTTTGTTATCGATAACCTTAAAACTTAGCGCAGTACTCTTGTCAGTTAAGCAAGGTAGTAACCATAAAGATAGTGTTGACATTGTCAATGCTGTTGCGTACATATCGCACACTAAATACTACAGACTCAAAACTTAAAATGTGTACTACAATTCAGTAAGGCCCAGTTTTGAACCCCGTACCGCCCAATTTCCAAAAATTAAATTCTTAAATTTGTATTTTATTTGATTTTATTTGATATTTTATTTTTATTTTATATTTTTGTAATATTTGTTTTATATTCTTAAATTTTTTAACGACTTCCAAAAAAGGAGGAGGTTATCAGGTCGTCGGAATATATATTTTTTTTATTTAATGTATGTTACCGCATAACTTTGGCCTACGTCAACCGATAATAATTCTTTTTGCAACGGGAAGGTAGTATCTCAGAGATGGTCCCATACTAATTTGGTTTAGATCCGATCATTGGATCATTAAATATATACATATATATATTTTTTAAGTCGTTTTTTTGCTAAAAACTACTTGTATTTATATTTTTAAAACTTTACTTTTGTTTTAATTTTCATTTAATTTCTGAATTTTCATTTTATATCTTTAATTTTAATTTTTATTTGTTATTTTTAATCTTTGTTTGTATTTTTTTTAATTTAATGTTGTTTTTATTTTATTTTTATTTTTAATTTTTTAAATTTTATTTTATATCTTTTAATTTTTATTTTATATTTTTCTTGTTATCTGTATACTTTATTTTACTCTGTTTTATATTATTTCGTGAAAATTAAATTTTTTAGAGTTTAATTTCTATTAAAAAGTTCACAACTAAAATTGCATAAAAGAAACTTAAATTTTTTAAATAATATTTTATACTTTTTTAATTTAAATTTAATTTTTTAAATTGCAACTTTTTAATTTTAATTTTATATTTAAAAATTTTTATTTTATAGTTTTTATTTTATAGTATTTGATTTTTATATAATATTTGATATTTTTTGATTTTTATTTAATATTTTTTATTTTTTATTTTTGTTATTGTGCGCATTTCACATGTAAATTAGCACAATTAAGTACCAACGCCGATAGCAGCAAACTGATCGTGCAAGGTCTTCTACTTATCCTCCGCGCCGTTCGCAGCACTCAGAGAGAGAGAGAGAGAGAGAGAGAGAAAGAGAGAGAGAGAGAGAGAGACATCTTCAATAAACTTTCATTTATTGCACAGGAGATTTATACGAACTAAAGCCGGTAGTCTATACGCTACATATGTAAATATTCATTAATTTCAGTCGAATAGTAGACAACTCACTTTTCATACTTCTAACTCATATGTGTTAGTCAACTGCCATCGGTATTATATTTGAAGTTAACTATTATAATTTTCCTGGGTTAAACTCATTAAGTTCTTTTAAATAATAATTCATGCTAATGGCAGCTCATCCTCAAATATATTTAAGTTCTAGCTTTAAATTTATTGTGACAAACTAAGTTTTGCGGGTTTCTGCCATATAAAAATAAATTGTGTTCATTCGTTATATGGAAGTAAATGCGACTTGAAACTTGGAATGTGCTAAAATTGATTGGACTATAAAACTGCATACTCAAAAAAATTCTAACACTTCTGAGAAAAAAGTTTGAAATTTAAGTGAAAATTCGTCGAATTTTTTTGTAGTCTTTTACAAAGTTTAAAACTTGGGTTTATGTGGGATTTGTTAGAGAATGAACTGTGTTTTAATCGCAAGTGCTTAAAAATTAATAATTAGCATAAGTGGCAAACAATATCACTTTGAAATTGGGGTGCTATAGATATGGCCAATACTGTATACTTCTGTACTTGTTATTAATTAACTTCCCTCCTTAATTTATGCAGAAGGAATCCATACAGTAATTTATGGTAGAAAACTAATAAGTTTTTGGTATCTTTAATCTTAATTTGCATTTTGATCTCGAGAATGTCGGTTTTCTAACGAATTTTTTAAATTTTATTTTATATCTTTTAATTTTTATTTTATATTTTTCTATGTTATCTGTATACTTTATTTTACTCTGTTTTATATTATTTCGTGAAAATTAAATTTTTTAGAGTTTCATTTCTATTAAAAAGTTCTCAACTAAAATTGCATAAAAGAAACTTAAATTTTTTAAATAATATTTTATATTTTTTTAATTTAAATTTAATTTTTTAAATTGCAACTTTTTAATTTTAATTTTATATTTAAAAATTTTTATTTTATAGTTTTTATTTTATAGTATTTGATTTTTATATAATATTTGATATTTTTTGATTTTTATTTAATATTTTTTATTTTTTATTTTTGTTATTGTGCGCATTTCACATGTAAATTAGCACAATTAAGTACCAACGCCGATAGCAGCAAACTGATCGTGCAAGGTCTTCTACTTATCCTCCGCGCCGTTCGCAGCACTCAGAGAGAGAGAGAGAGAGAGAGAGAGAGAGAGAGAGAGAAAGAGGAGTGTGTGAATGAACGAAACGAAGGTGGCGTCGCGCACAATTTAAAACTGAGCGAATGCAAGTACATAAGTGACGTGTGTTGTGTTTTCGAACATATTTGGCGTGCTGTTATCAGTCGATCTTGCCGTCGTCGTTGCTACCGTCCTTTTCACAAATACTACCATCAGTCTTATCACCCTTTACTAATACTAGTAAAAGAGCACGCGACTCATGACTACTACTACTGCAAGTTGCACTTGTAGCTCTAAATTTCGAAAAAAATTTGAGATTACCTTCCGGACCCTATCAGTAAAAGAGTAAAAGTACTCAGGAGGCACACTAGAGCGCGTTTAATGAAATATTTTCATGTTTAATTTTTAGTTTAGTCGCATTTGCGGTGGCGTTTAGTACTTAATTACTTTTAGCCGTTCGTATTTTAGGCGTTGCTGTTATCAAGTGCCTCGTTGTTTTGCGCGTGTGCGTGCGTTGTTGTTTCTTTCTATTTTTTTGAAATTTTCCGGGCAGTAAGTTTAATGTGAATACAATAATTGATAACTGAATTGTTTTCGGCAGTAAATATTTATCATCAGCTCATCAATTATTTAATTTCCTACAAGATCAATGTACAATCAAACAGAGATCGTTGATCATTGATCGCTGATCGTGCGCCTTTAAAATGTGACTTTGGCACTTGATTTATTTTATAACTTTTAAATTTTTAATGTGTGACACTAATTTGTGCTTTCATCATATTTTTAATCTGCAGGATGGAGAGCTTTTGGGTGCAGAGTGCGATCGGCGCCATAAAGGTGCTCGCTTTTGTGTGTGACATAATCACATTGCCGGTATATTTGGTGTTGCAGCGACCATGGAAACGAAGAGAGGAGTCGCGTCGCGTCAAGGTGAGAGCAAAACAAAAATAAAATTCATATTACACATGCTTGTGATCTTTGAGTCTGCTACAAATTTACATTAATACATAGTTTGTTTAGACATTTACTACTCATCCGCCTTTGACATTAAATAAAGTCACTTTATTTTTATATATCTATTTTACTTGCGAAAACTTTTAATTGTCCCCTAGTGTAGTCGTTTTAATGAATTTCATATATAACATGTTCATTATCATAATTGGTGATTATCAATCATTTTTTTCACGTTACTTTAAGTGCATAAATGTTTTTGCTACTGTCAGGAAATCTAAAAGTAACTGACCATTGGCTAATTGCAGTCGTTTCCTTAGTTAAGTCGCAAAATAAGTTGTGTAAGTTGGAGTCTTGTAATGCGATATGTACTATGCAAAAATCGTAGTTGCTTGTTCTAGTGGTTTTTATACAGTAAAGCTTCGATAAAACATTAAACTCATTGTAGCAAATGTTTTTGAACAAATTACCTTTCTTCAAAGTTCTCTTCACAATAGCATACATAATAAAAATAGTATTTAGGTGCTTATCGAGCCGAGCTTCTCCTCCTACAATCTTACGCCGCCTCCGAATAGCAAATGACTTCTCAAGCTCAGAGGTTTGCCATTGCTTGCCGAAGGGCGACCGCTGTTAGAAAAAACTGTTTCTAATTTAGATGTTGCTCGGTTTTACGGAGTGCTAGTACGCACCTCTGACCACTCAGACACAGCGGCCGCATCTTCACAAATGTGCGCCAGATGTAGATGCTAAGATCATTAACTTGGTTGTCCAAAACCGGTTTCCACCTTGTTTTTTGGGGGTATCTATGTATAGGCGTTTTTTTTTTAAATCTTGATTTTTCGAATAAACCGGATTTTTCATAACATTTCGATAATAATTTCGACAGCTAGTGAAACTTTCTAGATTTTCGGAACTTTCCAGTTTGGGAGAATAAACGAAATTAAAAAGAAAAATAAAACTTAACCAATATTTACTTTCGCCCTTTTAAGTCTTTGTGTCGAAGTTTCACTGTACTTTATATACATATGTATGAACTTTATATTGCTGCTCATTTCACTAAAGTACTAAAAATTGTTTTCTAATGCTTAATAAAATATTGATGTGCTGCAATTCAATCTGAAAGACGCTTGTAATTTTCATTTATTTGACAGTTTGAAGTCCGAATGACATCTTCAATAAACTTTCATTTATTGCACAGGAGATTTATACGAACTAAAGCCGGTAGTCTATACGCTACATATGTAAATATTCATTAAATTCAGTCGAATAGTAGACAACTCACTTTTCATACTTCTAACTCATATGTGTTAGTCAACTGCCATCGGTATTATATTTGAAGTTAACTATTATAATTTTCCTGGGTTAAACTCATTAAGTTCTTTTAAATAATAATTCATGCTAATGGCAGCTCATCCTCAAATATATTTAAGTTCTAGCTTTAAATTTATTGTGACAAACTAAGTTTTGCGGGTTTCTGCCATATAAAAATAAATTGTGTTCATTCGTTATATGGAAGTAAATGCGACTTGAAACTTGGAATGTGCTAAAATTGATTGGACTATAAAACTGCATACTCAAAAAAATTCTAACACTTCTGAGAAAAAAGTTTGAAATTTAAGTGAAAATTCGTCGAATTTTTTTGTAGTCTTTTACAAAGTTTAAAACTTGGGTTTATGTGGGATTTGTTAGAGAATGAACTGTGTTTTAATCGCAAGTGCTTAAAAATTAATAATTAGCATAAGTGGCAAACAATATCACTTTGAAATTGGGGTGCTATAGATATGGCCAATACTGTATACTTCTGTACTTGTTATTAATTAACTTTCCTCCTTAATTTATGCAGAAGGAATCCATACAGTAATTTATGGTAGAAAACTAATAAGTTTTTGGTATCTTTAATCTTAATTTGCATTTTGATCTCGAGAATGTCGGTTTTCTAACGAATTTGTTCCAAATTATTTTGGATCTTTGATATTCAATGATTTTTTTTCAATATCCTTACATTTTTTTACCGCAATGCGAGATAAACTTATTTCCATCATTAGTTCTTACTTCTTTAGGAATACAGACTAATTTAAACCTAATAAGCGGACTAAATTCAAATTAAACCTTCACCTACCTTCCCCCATAAAATTGATTAAACGATAGACCAAATTACTTTGTAAAGAGTGTTCTTTAACTCCGATATGTGCTTTTTTGTACATCTTGACTGTAACACAAGAAAATGGTCGACTCAGGACTACAATTTATAAATTAAAGATCTTGGAAAAAGTGTAATTAAATTGATTGACATTTATGTAGTAGTTTTATTTGTGTTTTTAGTAATTTAAAATTGACATCTATTATAGCTTTCCTGCTAAAAAAAAAGAAAAAATAAAATAAAAGCTTGTAGGAGCATTATAGTGGCACATCCTAAATACACAAATAAATGCACCACATCCCAAACGTAAGACTTTTAAATATAGATATTAATATGGGCGAATACGAATCCAAAAAATTTTTAACACCAACTTTTATGGAAATCTATTAAATTCTTATGTTTTCATAACCGCCATATTGGGTTCATCATTTTAAATTTTCGAAAATTGTTTTTAGATTCGCGACCCTGAAAACCCTTCGATACAAAGTTTTATGAAAGTCTATTAACTTCTTATATCTTATGTCTGCCATATAGGATCCGCCATTCTAAATTTTTAAAAATTGAGTTTACATAAGTAATCATCGACCCCAAAAACAATGCGATTCAAAGTTTTAAGGAAATATATTAACTTCTTATATCTTATGGCAGACATAGGATCCGACATTTTGAGTTTTTGAAATTTGATAGCGTAATTGAAAGTTTCTCGTATCCTAGGAGTTATTAATTTTGGCTAAAATATGGACCTCCTGGGTAAAGACTCCTTTTCTTACGTGTATGATTAACAAGAGTTCAGAAATAGCCTTCGCGTTTTATTTCTTTGGTACACGATGACTCAAAAGACATGCTGCATTTCAAGTAGCGAATACATATAATGCAAAACTTCACTTTTGGTTGGTTTGGTTGAACACTTTGGGTAAAAATTTTGATAGGCAAAAAAATCCTGAGCGACAACGCTGCCCACAGATGTAAAAAGCATATTTAGGTTGTTCACACTTGCTTAGTTATCAGATTATCTGGTTATAAATCATTTTTCTGTAGTGTTTTTTTTTGTTGCAAACTGAATAAAAAATATAAGCACATGACCATATAACCTGATGACCAGGCAAGTGTGAACAAACCTCATTGAATTTTTTAGTGAGACCTGCGAGAGAAGGACCACAAGACACCCTTCGCTTAACAAACTTATTTTTAAGAATGGTAAAATGAACAATTGGATAACTAAACTCACATTAGGAAGTAATTGCTAAAAGTTTTTCATTTAAAAGTTGAAATAAATAAGGTAAGGACAAATTTGGTATTAAAAATTTTTAATAGCACTTAAATTGGTTTTTTATTACTGGTATTATTGTTTTTTTTTTCAAGATAAGAAGAACCTTGAAATTTGCTCTTTATCTACAATATAAATTCAAACATAGTTAGTATGTCCATATTTTTATTGGCTGTAAATTTGTTAAGAAAATTTTAATGGACTTTTAATCGCGCGACCCAGCAAGCAATACACAGAGCGGAAAAATACACACAGACAGGTAGTTAATTTTACACTTATTTACTTATGTATAAGGCATATAAATATAGTACATCTGTACATACATAATAGCTACGTACATATGGACATACACATACACATATATATGTACATTAGCGGGGTCAAAAATGCTTGTGAAAAAGTAAAGTCGGGATTTTAATGCCTATTTATTATTGTTCTATATCGAAAAACAATATATGCACCTCTCTTTTTTTATTTCGAAATCAAAAAATATTTAGACGTCGCTCAAAGCGCTTAAAGTTTTTCTTGTAATTTATATGGGGGAAAAAACAACTCTTCATGGAAATGGTATGGAATTCTTGAAAGTCAATATTTTTCTATCGGGAAAACGCTGTTTCTCCTCAGGGGACTTCCAATAATAATACCCACATGTTAATTTCAGCATTTGTAATACTAACGTTTCTATAGGGGTTCCACCATTGCATATTTTTTGGTTTTTTGGGACCTATACAAATATTTAATATTAATAACTCGCAAAAAAACATTTGTGTAGTCTCCTAAAGAGAAACAGACTTTTTCGATCGAAAATATCCATTTTCAAGAAATCTATATCATTTCTACGAAAAATTATAATTTTTTCCATATAAAATACATGAAAATATTTTTTTTTTCAAAATGAAAAAAGGGCTATATTTTTTTTTTATATAAAACAATCCTAGGAGGGAGAGCATTAAAATTCCGACTTTACTTTTTTATTGGACCACCCTAATGTACATACGTGTATGTATGTTTAAGTAAATATTTTGCCAATCATCGGTATAGTTTTTTTTAGCTGTGCTATTAGTTGCCCTCTCTCTCATTCGCTTTGTTTATTACCAGTTTGTTGTCATATCTTTTCCTATTTTGCTTTTTGCGCCAGGCTGTTCCAGTTAAAAAATTTGGCTCAGACACGGACGAGAAGCCCAGATATGCCGCGGACGACATTGAGGTTTTGTTCTCATTCATTGTTTTTGTTTTTGTTTTTAATTTGATCACCTCACACGTTTTTTTGTTTGCTTTTAAGTTGAATATCCTTAATTGTTTATTATTATTTTTCCTTTGTTGTTGGCTGCTTGCCTGTATTTACCCGGTATACACTGTGAATTGGCATTGAAATTTTATTAATCACTGGTTGTTTGTTGTATCGAAGTATTAACATCTTGAAGATGCCTGAGCGGAAAATTTTTTAACACGTTCAGAAGGAGGATAAAATCGAAATTTCCACGGAATGCGTTGTTATTATTTCTATTTATTCTTATTTATCATCAACAAATTTTTGTATAAAAATTTTCTTTTCCACTCTTTTGATTACAATTTTTCAATTTAATTTATTCATCATTAATTTTTTTGATTTTCGATTTGTTTTTTGAAGTTTTTTAATTTTGTTTTGAAGCTTTTTATTTATTTTAATTGTTTATTCTTTCAATTTTGTTTTATATTTTTAAATTTTGCTTTTAATTTTATTTTTTATTTTTTTTTATTTTTTAATTTTGTTTTATCTCTAAATTCTTGTTTTTTCTTATTTTATTTATTTTTTAATTTTTGTCGGATTATTTTTTTGCCTTGTTTTTATGTCCATATGTTACCGCATAACTTTGGACGACGTCAACCGATTTCTATAAATCTTTAAATTTTTAAAGGAAAGGTGGTAGCTCAGAGGTGGTCCAATACTACTTTGGTTTAGACCCGATCATTTGATCTTGACGAAATTAACGGTACTCTTAAATTTTTATGAGAATTGAAGTCGGTTTTGTTTTTTTTTTTTTAAATTAATTATTTTTGTTAAATTTTTTTACGTAAAACTTTCTTCGATTTTTTTTTAACTAAATCATAATTTTTTATTGAAAATATTTTTAAATTAAAAAAGGTTACTGCATCTATATCTTCAAAGTGTTAATTATTTCAATATTCTAGAATCCACATTAAAAATCTCCGATAAGTGTTTTAAAGTTTTAAGATCCCCTTTTTATTTGCTGTCAACCCTTGGACCCAAATGGTGGAAAAATTACTTTCTTAAACTATAAAAGGTGTTCTAAATATATTTATAAATATGTAAATAATTCTGTATACAGTGGCGGAAGAATAAATAGGGACCCGACATTTTAACAAGTTTTGGCTATTTTTCTTTTGTTTATTTAATGTTTCATTAGCATTAGTTTAATGTACATATGTATAAGAGTTTAGCTCATTATCTAGCAAAACCATGTAAGTACAAATTTTAAACTTTGCACAACAATTATGAAAACTCAACAAAGTGTTATCGAAATTGCAAACTTTCTAATTAATTTTTTAACGTTTTTAAATTAAAAAAAAAATGGTTTCCAGTTTCAAAAAATAATTTTTCCTCACACAAATTTTTTTAGAACATTCTTTGCATGGAAGAAAACGAGTAACAACACCTTCGTAGAGAAGAATTTTGTCGTTTAAGAGTTTCGTCTAAGAGTATAGTTGACCAATATGGCTCTTATGCATATGCCGCATATGACCCTATCAAATTGCCTTTACAATAAATCGATTAAAAAGTTGCATCCTTTTAGGCGAAACTCTGCGTTTCCTTCTTTATTGTTTTTCTGGATTGCTTTGTTTGCTCACCTTCGAACTTATAGTTTTTTCTCCAACACTGCTATTTAAATAAATGTCTACAAAAGTCATCTTACACAATCGCAACCCACAGAACCCGCCCTAACTGGCCTACTTCTGTTCTAATCTCTCTTCTGCCCTATTAAGTTTCCAGTTTTACTCAGTTCCTCCAAATTTTGATATTCTTTCAGGCGCGTGTCGTCAGCTCCGACGAACATTCGTTGACCTATCACACCATTGAGCCACCACGGGAAGTGCACGTAAAAATGCTGCAAAATAACATTGACACACTGGAAAAGATGTTCAACTATGTCGCCAAAGTGCATTCGAACAAACGTTGCTTGGGCACACGTCAAATCCTCAGCGAAGAGGATGAGTTGCAACCGAATGGACGCATCTTCAAGAAATACAATATGGGCGAGTATAAGTGGAAGAATTTCATTGAAGCGGATCGTATGGCTACCGCTTTTGGGCGTGGTCTGCGCGAGTGTGGACTGAATGCGCGTCAAAATATTGTCATCTTTGCGGAGACTCGCGCTGAGTGGATGATTGCGGCGCATGGTTGCTTCAAGCAGGCTATGTCCATTGTAACCGTCTATGCCACACTGGGTGATGAAGGAGTGGCGCATTGTGAGTTTACTGTTTTTTTTTTGTCTGTTTTCACTTTTTATAATATTTGTTTGTACTATTTGTTGTTAGGTATCAGTGAAACCGAAGTCACCACTGTGATCACTTCACATGAGTTGTTGCCCAAATTCAAACAGTTGTTGGATAAGTGTCCCAAAGTTGATACCGTAATTTACATGGAGGATCAGCTGCACAAGACTGAAACAACGGGATTTAAGAGTGGCGCGAAGATAATCGCTTTCTCGCAAGTGGTGCGCATGGGACAGGAAAGTAAATTTGGTGAGTTGGTAGAGTTGAATAAGAATTGTGAAAATACCAGAAGATGAGTATTAAATATTATAGCAATATGTATATATAATAAAAAAATAAAAACAAAAATAAATTAACTATAGAAAAAAATTAAGCAAATTAAGATTTAAAAAATTTAACCATTAATGAAAAAGATGCGAAGAAAAAAATTGGAGAATTAAAAAAATAAATTAATAATAACTTTTGTATGTATGAATGTATAATGAATAACAAACTTAATAACAAGGAAAATATAAAAATTTATACTTGAGTGAAAATAAAATACTTAAGTAAACAAAGAAAAAATATGTAAAGAATTGAATAAAAACTGCAAAAATATCATTTATAATAAAAAATAAAAAATTTAAGATACCAATATGTGAAAAAAATAAAAATAAATGGATACAAAAATATAATAAAAAAGTGAAAAAGTTAAATAAAAAATAAAGCGGAAAATAAAAAAAAGTGACAATATAACAAGAAATTATGTAAAAGAATAAAATAGAATAACAATAAATAAAAAAATTATAGGAGAAAAAATAAAATATAAAATAAAAAGTAACCAAATAAAAAAATTAACGGAAAAGAATTTAAAAATAAAAAGTAATAGAAACACATACATATACTTTGTACGGAAATATGAATTAAAAAATACTATGTGATACAAAAAATAATAAAAAATAGAAACACATACATATACTTTGTACGGAAATATGAATTAAAAAATAATATGTGATACAAAAAATAATTGGGCGATTAAGTATCATATTGTCTTATATCGTAAAATTTTAAAATCATAAAACAAAAATAATGATAATAAAATGAAAATACAAAAATAATGGTAATGGTAATAAAATAATATAAAAATAATGGTAAAAAATACTTATTAAAAATAGTAGAAGTCTTAGTAACGCGGCAAAATCCCGCGTGATGATGTCCGCAATACATAGCAATCATTCTCCCTTTTTTTTAACACTACAATAAAAAATAAACTGGTAAATCACGATTGATAATGAATTAATCTCAATTAAATAAAGAGCTTATAAATAAGAATTTTAAAAAATCAATTTTATTGATATACAAATTTGCCTTTTCGTCTCTCCTCTCTTAGAGAGCGTTCCACCCAAAGCTGAGGATACAGCCATCATCATGTACACATCCGGGTCAACAGGTACACCAAAGGGTGTAGTACTATCACACAACAATTGCATTGCCACAATGAAAGGATTCTGCGATGTGGTGGCAGTGCGACCTGATGATGTGCTAATTGGGTATGGTAACTTCCACCAAAATATCTTGCAGTAATTTTTCTAATCTATCCTAATTTTCTATACTATCTAAAAATACAGCTTCCTTCCACTGGCGCACGTTTTTGAGCTACTTGCCGAGAGTGTTTGCCTAATGACTGGCGTCCCCATTGGCTATTCTACGCCACTGACCATGATTGACACCAGCAGTAAGATTATGCGTGGTAGCAAAGGTGATGCGACTGTATTGAGACCCACTTGCATGACTTCCGTGCCGGTGAGTAAAGGACGGCTAAAGAGCACAATTTTTTGTTCCTTCTATGTAGATTTATTGCAAGTTTTATTGTGTGAATATTTTTATTTTCTCTCCATTATCTGAAAATGTATGGTTTCCTTTTCAGCTTATTTTGGACCGCATCTCCAAGGGTATTAACGATAAAATTAATTCAGGCTCCGCCTTTAAGAAAGCGCTCTTCAAATTCCTTTATCAATACAAAGTGCGTTGGACACAGCGCGGCTACGAGACGCCATTGGTTGATAAGTAATGAAATGAAATACAGATTAATATTTAATAAAACGTAAATTAATTTTCTCCTTTCCTGCCATACATACAGGCTAGTGTTCCAGAAAGTCGCCAAATTGCTGGGTGGACGCGTACGCTTGGTTTTGTCAGGTGGTGCGCCACTCTCGCCCGACACACACGAACAAATCAAAACTTGCTTGTGCGTAGAATTGGTGCAGGGCTATGGTCTGACTGAGACTACATCAGGAGCGACAGTTATGGATGGTAAGTGTTTTAAGTTAGTAGGCAATCGAAATCTTAAATCATAATCATTATTAAATTCGTAGCTCGCGATTTGACTTATGGTCGCACTGGTGCACCGCTGACGGTCTGTGACATACGTCTGGTCAACTGGGAGGAAGGCCGATATCGCATTACGAATAAACCATATCCACAGGTTTGTAAGATTTTGATATTTACATTTTAAAATAATCATAAATCGAAAATTACCAATGCGAATTTTAATTTCAGGGCGAAGTGTTAATAGGCGGCGATAACGTGTCCAAGGGTTACTACAAATTGCCCGGCAAGACTGCTGAAGATTTCTTTGAGGAGGATGGCAAACAATGGTTCAAGACTGGCGACATTGGTGAAATTCATCCAGATGGTGTACTTAAAATCATTGGTGAGTCGAACAGAACAATAGTTAAATTTTAATTAAAGTTTTTTCGGTAAAATTAGATCGTTATTTTGGATTTATATTTTTTTAATTATTTTTAACCGATATAATGGAGACTGCGTTTTTAATCCTTTATGATCTAAAAATCTGGAAATAACGGTTATAAATGATCGAAAAAATAAAAATGAAAAATAGCCATCAAAACTTGATCAAAAAAATTAAAAGCCATAAATAACGACTATTCTTGATCGAATAAATAAAATAACGGTAAAATTTTATCGAAAAAATAGAAATCCAATTTTAAGGTTTAAGTTCAGATTTTTATGGCAATATAAAGATCATAACCGTTTTTCATGTTTTTTTAAATCTCTTTTCGTTGCTTTTAATTTTGTTTATTATTTTTTATAATTCTTTTTTTTTTTGTATAAGTTTTTTATTTATATTTTGTTTTTTAATTATATACTTTTTTAATTTTGTAAATTTTAAAATGGTTCAAATTAAAATTTTATTATTTTTTCATTTTATTGTTTCTTTAATTTTGTTATTATTTCATTTTGTTATTATTTGATGTTATTCTTGAATTTAGTTCTTTTTTAGTTTGTTGTTTTTTAATTTTGTAATTTTATAATTTTGCTTATATTTTTATATCTTTGATTTTTTTTTAATTTTAATACTTACATTTTTAATAAGTAATTTTTTATTTTATATACTTTTCTATTTTAGTTTTTAGTTTTTAAGTTTATTTTTAGTAAATTTAATTCGGTTTTAATTTATTTTATTTTTGTTATTATTTTTGTACTTATATTTTTTCCTTGGCTTTTACTCATTTTATATGCCATTTAATTTTTCCACTCTGCTTTTATGGTAGTTTATCACGTTATTTTTCTTAGTTTTTCTTGACTTTTTTTAAGAATATTTTCTTAATTTTTTTATTTCTATTTATCTGCATTGCTTAATATTTTTGTTTTAGTTGTTTTTTTTTTTAATTTTTTTTTCTATCCAGAAGTATTTCATACTAACGCTCTTCTTTTCTCCTCATCTGTCTCTCTCAGATCGTAAGAAGGATTTGGTGAAGCTGCAGGCCGGCGAATACGTTTCACTCGGCAAAGTGGAATCTGAATTGAAAACCTGTCCGCTCGTGGAGAATATCTGCATTTACGGTGATCCTTCTAAGCAATTTACTGTGGCGTTGCTTGTGCCAAATCGCAAGCACCTCGAAGAGTTGGCCGAACGCAATAGCTTGAAGGACAAATCGTTTGAGGAATTGTGTGCAAGTGCAGCCATGGAGAAGGCGGTAATCAAAGAAATTGCTGAGCACGCTAAGAAATGTAAGTTAAAACAAAACAAAACAAAAAAAATAAAATATGTGCGTAACTAATAATTTTCCCCTCCCCAAATGCAGGCAAATTGCAAAAGTACGAAGTGCCCGCAGCCATTACGTTATGCAAGGAGGTTTGGTCGCCGGACATGGGGCTCGTTACGGCCGCCTTCAAGCTGAAGCGCAAGGAAATCCAAGACAAATACCAGCACGATATTAATCGCATGTACGCCTCATGAAAGTCAATGCACTGATATGCTGTTTTTGAACAAATATAAAAGTACATTTTTCTGGTGTGTTGCACGGCAAGTTCAGCTAAATTAAAAATTTGCGAACTGGTGCGAGCAAAAATTAGGAAATCCAACCGGCCATTGAATGGTTGCGGAAAAATGTAAATTCAAGTTTAAATAATAAAAGAAAAGCATGCGAAAAAAGGCAGAAACTACAAAAAACTGGAAAAATCAGCAAAATAGCAAAATTGCGTTTGCTGCAAAAACAAAAACAAATTTAGATCTTTCGTTTCCTCAAACGTCTTTTTTTAACTATAAATATTATTACAAAATATATTTTTTTTTTTGTAAATTATAATTATTAAATATAATCGAAGTTGTAATGTGTTTTAGGTGCGTTATTACGATTATATGTAAATGTATAATGTATAACGAGTTGAAAAAAAGAGAAAAAAACAAGAAACGTTAACTATTAAAGTGCTGGTTTATTTAATTATACATAAATATTTTACGCCTAGAGGATATTTGAATTAACAAAACAATATAAAAAATTATTTGACAAGTGTAGCGTGCAGTTGAATCGTATGCACGACGGGCGCTTCCAATTACAGCTGGAAGCCACATAGAAGTAGAAGAAGAGTAACTAAAATGTATAATTTGGTACTTGCAACTTTAGCATTTAGCTATAAGTGATTTTTAAGATAAGCCTAGTGAAAATTTGTCTCCTTTGTTGCAAGCATTAGAACTTTGAATATTAAGCTAAAAAAATAAGATATTTAAAATTTAAACCAAACAATAATTAAAAATAAAGTTACATATTTAAAATCAAAAAAATCATATAAACAAAAATGTTTTCGATGTAATTACGTAGCACTGGGAAGAGAGAGAGAGTTTGAATGTGTGAGCGAATGCTGCAAACTAGATAGTAATTAAACAGCAACGTGGAGCGGTGTATTTATATAAAAGTGCATATTTTTTTAAATTTTTGTCAGCTGCTTAGTATTACTGAAAAATGTAAATATTACATTTATGTATGTAAACGTTTGTGGAGGCAAGAAAAAACATGTAAAAATAGTACTAAATAAATTGAAAAACATATTTCAAAACCTAAAACATACATAGTAATATATTACATCTTACAATTTGTTATTTAAAGAGAGTAAATTAAAAATCTGTGTTGAAAAAGAAAAAAGTCTAAAAAGGGTAATAAGTGGCAATATTTTGGATTACGTTTTACCTTTATCAAAATTCAAAACCATCTCTAAAAAAAAGTACTAGATTTATTGGCATCTTTGGAACAGAAATCAAAGCATTTAACACTTTTTTGGCTTCGATAAAATATAAAATTTTTTCATTGACTGCTTCACGGTCCATACCAAAAAAAAAAATTATTCGCTTTTGGGAATCTTAGGTTAAATGAGGCTAGATCAGAGGTTTCCGAACTTTTTCATAAAACAGAGTTCGTACAGCCATCAAAAAATCGTTTTGAGGAGTTATATTTTTTTAGAGCACTGAAATTTCAAAAACTCGGTGCTGACGTTACTTACATTCTCTTCCCTATAAACTCCACACGTTTGGTGGCTCACTTCTGAATTTCTAGGATTAGTATTTGTGAAATAGTTTATTCCAGGGATATAACAGTTATAAGTTCTATCGGAAAAATGTTCTATAACAGTTATTAGATGAAAAATATTTTTTATTTCTCCGATAAGAGTTATAACCCAACGCTTATTTTTTACGTTGCCTGTTAACTGTTATGCAGGAGAAATATACTTTCCGTCGCCAACAACAGTTATTTCCCAGCGTTAATTTTTTGCGTTGCTTGATAACAGTTATTACCCATCGTTTATTTTCTATTCATGGCCTTTGGAATGTTCAAAACGTTATTAGAGGTAAGTTTATAAAGTTGCGATTTGGATTTTTGACGCAATTCTATTAATTATCGAGAATCTAACGTCGTTAAAAATATGCCACAAAAAAAATTTGTTGAGCGCCTAAAAGCATGCATACTTATGTTTTAGCGCTGTAAATTTGCAGCCCTGTTCCCACGACATGATGTAACAACTAAGGAGTTAAAAACAAGCTCTATAAACTTGATTATATTGATTGTTTTGTTTTAGCGTGTGGCTTTATGGAGCTATGAGATATAAAACAAACAAACAAAATAGCTAATTACATATTCTGCCCTATTCTGGTTGTCGTATGTCGTTCGCATCGAATTATGTCGTAAATAAAAACATTAACGACAGATTTTTACACTTTTTCAATACTTCTTCATTTCGAAAGGATAATAGGAATAAGAATTTGTAGTACATTATGTCATTGATAATGCCAACGAAATTCTCAAATTTCGCCGAACGACTGTTGTTCCTACAATCGGAATAGGGGCGATTATTTCAATTGATGTTCTAGTTCTAGATAATAGAAAAAAATACCATAATGAGAAAACTAGAACATCAATTGAAATAATCGCCCCTATTCCGATTGTAGGAACGACAGTCGTTCGGCGAAATTTGAGAATTTCGTTGGCATTATCAATGACAAATTTTAAAGGAAATACTTGGATGATATAGTAACCATTTACTAAATGATTTTGAAATAAAAAAAAATTGAAGCTTTTAAAAATAAAAAAAAAATAAAAATAAAAACACGAAACTATTAGCCAGATATAGTGAAACTGTTTCTTTTAGTTCTTCTCTCTGACATTAGACTTTTTAAAAAGTTTTTCAAATTAAAAAAAAAATTAAATTAAAAAATTATTTAAAAAAAAACAGTGCATTGTAGAGTAATAATATTGGTACTAAATGAAGAAGAGAATTCTGTAGTTAAAGAAATAAAGTATTTTGGTTCACAAGGACGAGTAGGCATTGAAAATGCGCTGATATTTTTTTTATGCTAATCAAGTTGGCAGGATGTCATGGTGGGCAGATTAGTCCTTAACATAATTTTTTTTTTTCAAAAATACATCATGCAAATTTTCAGGGATATTTAGGAATACAATTTTAAAAGGACTTTTTTAGTACTTATTCGTCCATATGCACCAAAAAATTTAAACTCCTTTAATTATACTGAATTGTCTCTTTTATATGATACCCATATTGTTCTTCTACATTGCCCTCTGGAAAAGTGATTTTTTATGGTTCCAACACTGCATTTTTGGGGTTTTAGGGGGCCTATAAAAAATAGCTAATATTAAAAAATGGTTAAATAATCAATAGAGTATTAATATTAGAAGTCTCCTGAAGATAACAGAGCTTTCCGATCGAAAAATATAGATTTTCGGGAATTCTATACAATTTCCACGAAAACTGTTTTTTCCCCCATATAGAATACATGGTAAACTTTGAGCGACCTCTTAATATTTTTTGATTTCAAAGTAAAGAAAAACAACAGGTGCATAAATTCAATTTTTTTTTGTATAGGACAATCCTAGGGGGTGAGAGCATATGAATGGTTAATGAGAAAAAAATACTTATATAATGCATAGAAAATTTCAGATAAAAATAAAAAAATAAATTACTTGTTTTGTTCAATTAAATCATTAGAAGGTTTAGGAATAATTAAATCACAGTTAGTCTAAGATCCCAATATTGCACTACCTTCACCCATCTGTTTAATAGATGAATATAAATATTTCGCTAGTGGATTTGCTGAATCCTTGCCAGGATGTTTTAAATTGAATGCAGTATATTTTGCTTTGCTGCCTTTGTGTTTAAGTGCACATTTAAGATACCTACCCGAAAATGCGCATAAGCGGCATTATTTTTAACATTTATAATTAAACTGCCCCGATAGATGCATTCAACATAGGCTGACTACCAAAACGTCAATTGCTTTGCATACGTACAAAGTATAACGTTCAATAACGCCAAACCACAAAATGTTGATGTATACTTTTCCAAAACGCATCCGAAATTTTATCGAAACGCATCGCTAGCGCAATCAGCGCATCAGAAACAAAGTTGTTGCTTCGTTTGTTATTGGTTACCATAGGTGTTTTAAAAATGGAAAATTCATTAAAATTGTTCATTGGTATATTGAGTATTTAAAATATGCAATGTATATGGTTGCAATGTGTCGCAACTCTGCATATACAAACAGTTTGAATACCGCAGTATAACAGTTTCCAAACATTGTGGCCCTTATTATGATAGCCAGCGAAGATCCAAATCGAAAGTGAAATTCGTATTATGAGCTATGCAAGCGTGTCGAAATTTTCGTTGAGTATCGAATTTTCTGTCGAACAGAATTTTGCTTTCGATGGTGTAGCGAAGTGTTAGAAAATTGTGAAAAATGTATGATTTTGTATATGTTTTCTTACATTTTGGCGGCTAGACACTAATTTTAAACAATTTTTATTAATTTCATGCAGTTCTAACATCGTGAATACTAAACACAAGCTCGAAAGGCTGGTTTTACTTGTGAAAGAAAATCCCAATACTCTGTTGGCACGATCTCTGAGAACAAAATCGTAGCGCTGTTGATAGTTTTAAAATATTTTAAATAGATTTGGCTCACAAACGCCTCTTTAGATGGTCGTAACTTTTTAATGAATCTGTAGACAAATTTCTTAAATATATTTTATATCAAAATATATTCAAAAGGCTAATAAACTTAAACTCTCTTAAACATTTGCTACTCCTGGCCAGTTTACTAAGCTCTCATCCTCTGACGAATCGTTGAACCAGAACTCGTTGTACTCATTTTACCACGTTTTTATAAGCTTGCTTTCTTTTTTACTTCATTTTAATTAGAACAAATTTACATAAATATGTATAAGCACACTATTTGTTTGCTCGATTTGTAAACAAAGCTTCTCAGCGGTGAAAAATATACTATTGTGAACAACCTAAACGAGCGAAATTCACAATAGCGCTATTCTTCATCGAATGAACGCCATAATACCAAATGAAAATTCGTTCGCTCAGCACTTTCGACCACAGTCGAAAATCGAATGCAACTCATAATAGGGGCCTGTATTGATACGTTTTGGAAGCCAGCCGTACTTGCATATTAACGATACCTGCCTTAAAAATTTGTAACTATTATTAATTATCAAAGAAAGTATTACGTTTACCTGCACTGGCCCTACAATTACTTAATTTTACACGCTTTTATTTATTTTGGTCATCTTGCAGAACAACGAAAACGGCTATCATTTTACGTAGTTATATAGATTATTAGATATCATTCGGTATTTGGTTTCATAGGGATTCGGATACCTTCCTCATTGAATTAGTAAAGAAAATTGGCTTAAGTGCTTTTTTCCGGTTAAGTGCACACGTTTTTCGTGCAAAGAAGGATAGGCAGCTAAGCAAAATATACTGTATTAAAAAATTATTATTTTTTTTTTAATTTTGTACTCATTTGTTTAATGAATAAATTTTATACTCATTTGTTTAATGAATACATTTTATAAATACCAATCGAAAG